AAAAAGGTTTCTAGAAATGAAAGAGGAATCGAATTTACACATTGAAAAGGGAACACTGGGAAAAAATGACACAGGACAGTCAACATCCAACCACATCCTGGCGAAGTGACTGGCTTCCCATAGAAAGCCTCTGGGGCTGGCAGACAAAAAGATCAAGTCACTTGTGTATAGAGAGACCATGAGCTAGTCCCAGTTTGCTTCTGTATTGTGTTCCACCCCACTCTCAAAAGTGTCATGACTTACACAAAAAAGTTATAGGATTGCCTTGCTTAAATGAGGAAAATAATGGAGGGGAAGTAAGGCATGGCTCTAGACAGCTCCACAGCAACGTAGCAAATACATAAGTAAAAACTCCTATGAATCCTCAAAGTTTAAGCCCCCCCAATTTATATTTACTACTTAACCAAATAGCCATTCAAACGAAAACCTCTTTTTGGTGTGTACGAATCAAGGAGCATAATTCTCCTAAGTCCTTCTTGAACAAACTGCTAGAAAACAACCTTCAGCAAACCAAGAAGGGAGAAGAGGATGTGCAGCAGGTGTGCCCCAATTTAAAAGCATTTCTTTCCATCCTTTCTAAGATGTTCCCCCCTGATACTCCATATTTCAGTTAATGAAATCTCAAAATCTGATTAAGTGGCCAACTGGGAGTTGTCCTAGTCACCCCATTCTCCTCATTCCAACATCTCACTAGTTCAGTAACTCCTGTCAAACTGTAAAGCGTTCTCTCAAATCTTTCCTCTGCTTTCCATCTCTGTTGTCACGCCTTAGTTCAGGTATGAGTCATTTACGTCTAGACGATTGCAATAGTATCTTAGGTGCAGGAGCAATTTTAAAACATTTCACAACTGGTACCACACAGGTGCTGAGCATTTAGAAAGGATACCAGTCGTAAACAGTGGCCGCGCACACTGGTACTCATCAGCTGTCTTTGGCCCTTGGCTAATTGAACTCCTTGCCTGCAGTATCCACAATCTCCAGTCCATCGCCCATATTGTAGTTATGATTTATCTAAAGCCTAAAGTTGATCATGTCACTCCTTAAGTTTCTTTACTAGAGTTCTGTTCCGTTACCTGCAGTGTTGTTCAACGTATGAAATCTAAACTCTTTGGCATTGTGAATAAAGTCTTTTAGGACATGGTCCCCACCTAATTTTTAAAGTTGAAAATCTTCTCACTCTCACATTCAGTACCCAACAACCACTCCGGACTTCTTGCCATTTGGTAAATGCACCAAAGACTCTCTGAGATTCAAGTGTGTGGTTGACACTGTCCTACCTGGAACAGGAATGGAACCTACATTTATTTCCCTAAAAGGTCCAGATTCTGGTTTCAGAATCGCATCCGAGTGAGAGAATCCACATGGGATAAGTTCCAGGGCTGAGCAACTTGCCCAACAGGCAACCAGCCAGAGGTCGCTTCCTCCTCGTTTTCTTCCCATTTTGAGTTTTCCCTGTTTGTTTAACAACCAGCCACGTTATACTATAGACACACTTCATAATTCTTTTGATTAGTTGACTGACAAGAGAGTCCCTAAGGAGTGGATTCTGCCAGTGATGCCATTTCCTGTTGTCTGTAACACATCAGCGGCCTCTCCCACCTGACAAGGCAGGGCTGCCTCGGGGAGTCTGTACTGAGTCCACTGGTTCACTCATCCGACAAGCATGTATTGAAAACCTCGGTCACATACGGGGTTGAGAATGATGTGGTCCCTGTCCTTATGAGCTTTCTGTCTAAAGTGGAGGGAGACAGCCAGCAGGAAACAAATGAATGTAAAGTGTGGCAAGGAAAGAAACAGTTTAGTTACGGAGAATAAGCAGGAGAGTCTGCATGGTAGGAGGTCACCGGAGGCCTCCCTGAGTAGGTGATACATAAACTGAGGCCTGAAGGATGAGAAGGCAACAGCCACACAGAGAGTGAAGGGAAGAACGTCCTACTAGGCAGAGAGCTAGTTTTCACTGAGAAAAGCAAAAATGCAGTGGCTTTCTCAGTTCAGTGTTTCGAAACAGCATTGCATCCACTTATGTGAGGAGGGCAATCCGTGTGGCTTGAAGATATCTGTACCCTCTTAGAGAAAAATGAGATAATCCAATTTTAAGTATACTTGTGAATGGAAAAATCACATGTAGGATCCAGTTCTCCTAAGTGTGCTTTGTATAAATTTCCCTTTGCATGTCTTTATGTTGTCCTCCCCATCTGGCGTGCTCACTACTAACCTCATTCTTCTACTGCAAAATTCCTGCTGCTCTTCGGAGCTCTGGTCTAGCCTTGCCTCCTGTGATGAAACCCTCTCTGACAGCTCCAACCTTCTGTGCTGGGTGTCTTCTCTGAGCCTCTGCACCTTCCTTGTCTTCCTGAGTGAGTATCACTTATGTATTATTTTCTTCCATGGGTACACATCTCACTTGTTTCCTATGATTTAAGAAGAGACGTGAAGCCTTTGTGTACTAGCCTGCGATTCTTCACCCAGTGTCTGATGGCTCAAGTTATAACATATGTTTAACAAGCAATTTCAAATCAGGGGAGACTGCCCACCTACCTCAGGAATTCTATACAGCCAAAATCCAACAGAGCAAATAGGATCCTTGCAGTTTTGAGGGTGTTTTTTATGAATGAACTCGAACAGATGGATATATAGATGAATAGATACAGAAAAATGAACAAAAGTCATATTCTCTCCTTTAAGGGGGTAACTTACTACACATTCCATGTAAACAAAATCTATAGTAAGACTTCCTCAAATAGAACTCAGGGACCAGTGTTATGAGAAAATTCCCAACGTTAAGAACAAATCCCAAACTACCACTCCAAAAAAATAAAAAGCAAAGGTCCACTCATTTTTACAGTACAAAAATTTTATTTTTTTTTTGTTAGGATAATTTAAAGTTTAAAACTGAAGTAGACATATTCATTTTACAAACAAGATACTCTTTAAGACCATTAAAAACAGTAAACAAAAAAGCTGTCTTTACAAAAAGCTCTGTGCATAGCAACTTTATACCGTATATAACTGACAAAGCAAAACAATAAAATGAAACTGTACAGTTTGAAAATGAGACTTCACTGTACAAAAGGGTAGAGAAGTTAATGGTTTTTAAACCATGCATATTGAAGTGTGTAAAGAAAAACCGAGAATTACAATGCTATAACAAAAGAATGAGATAAATAATGAAGTAAATTGTCCCTTTAAATGAAAAAGAAATCTTACACAGCTCCTCTTACAAACATAGGATAGAGTTTGTAGTTAACTATAGAAATACTTGTATTCCAAGTGGCACAAAAATAACCTGGGGAATGACCGAATAGCAATGACTAATGAGGACAGGGTAGCTTTGTTTTTAATTTAGTACACTAAAAATAATCCTTACACACATTTGTACAATTAAATAGGTCTGTTGCTGCCAGGGTTCTAGCTGAATGGTCAAAGATGTCTGGTATTTAGTTACACGCATTTTTCGGTGTAAAGCTACCAACAAATTCTACAGTCATTTTGAAGACAGTACTTCACTCATCTTCATGCAAGAGGAAAATTCACAGGTTCTAAAAGCAATGCTACTGAAAAAAACATTTCCTTATGTTGGATTGGCTCAAATCCAGGGCTAAACATGCTTAATTTTGTTCTGCCTTCACTTTTGGAAGGTAACGTTTGTATTCCACACATTCTTCCCCTTCCATCAATCAGTCTCACTGGGGAACTTTTTCTCTTACTTTTCCGTGTATTTTGGCGCTTTAAGCCCTGACTGTGAGGGACTGTCAGCAGTAGTTATAAGCATGCCAGGTTTCTAAAACCTTGGATTCTCATGTGCATAGAAATAATGTAAGTCATAGTGGGTCATTCCAGAATGGATTAAAGGCAAATAAGACAGTTGGAGCTGGATAGGTGTGGGGCTGCATCCATGGGTCAAAGAGAAGGTATGCAGAATTAATGAGGTCATCTAAAATTGGCTCAGATGCACTCATGATGTTTTTCCATGAGTGCTGCATCTATTTCTAATGCTGAAATCCCAACCCAGAGCCCCAAACTAAGTCTGTGTATAGACTCTACTATGGTGCTAATGAGTCAGGAGAACCCCAATGTGGAAACAAGTGACATCCTCATTGGCAATCCAAATATGCCTGGATATGTCTCCAAGGATCACATAGGCTTTCAGGAATCAACCTCTGTTAGCAGCTAAGGCAAGGTTCTTCCTCCCTAAGAGCTAGTCACAGCAAAGTGAAGAGCCCAACAAAGGGCTAGGTAACTGTGCTGCATAGAATACAGATGTCCCCAATCTCTGGATCTCCCACGAATCAGGTCTTCCCTTTCTTTCAACAAAAGAAGATGGGATTAGGGCTTTTGATATCCCTCTCCCATACCCCATCTCATTCTTGACTAGAAACAATGATGAGTGGGATAGCTGTGTTTTTCAAGAGAGTTTAATGCCATTAAAGAGGAAATTTACAGAGAGAGGAAAAGACCTGGATGTTCTGAGACTGACTCTTAAGAGTCCATGAAACAGAGTTATCTTCTCCAAGTCCTGTTTCTGAAGTTCTATGGGGCTATGTACCTCTGTACTGAATCAGGCACCCAAAGAGGAGGGAGTGGTGGGGTTCTGGTGAGGAAAAATTCCCAAAGGGTCCCTTAGTTAAGAATAGTCTGTGGTTTTGGCTCTGCCAGAAGGTGAGACACTTCTTTCCTTGGGATGCTGAAAGCCTGAGACACACTCAAACATGGGAATTCTCTGGTCTGCTCAGGGGAAAATGTTGAAAGCTAATAGGAATTTTAAAAAAAATATTCACAAAACCGGTGGACTACTTAGAAATCAGACGGAGCTGGGAATGAATTGATGGGTTGGAATATTTTTGCATGTGCTAGAGTCTCTGTTTCTGCATTCTGTTGTTCTGCATTATGTTGTTCTGTTCTTGGGTCAATAAAATGATGGAAAAGGGGGGATGTAGGACAGGGGATAAGAATCTAGTAAGTAACTGCAGTAATAATCACACACCTTTAAAACTTGGTACTACATGTTTGCATCATTTGCATTTTACATCAGGAAGAGAAATTCCTTTCTCTTCCAAAAAAAAAAAAAAGATCTTAATTTCTACCTCTACTTACAATAAGTTACACGTTTATTTAAATAATTGTAAAACATTTTAAAATTTTTCCCTTTTTTTGTTCATTTTCTGTTTAAAGAGATTAAGCTATAAGCAAACACACATACAACATTTCATCATTCGATTCAGGTTTTGTTTTAAGAAAGTCTCCCATGCTGGTACCCTGTTTTGTTCAATTTTTTTTCTGCATAAACTAAATTGGTATCTGAAAGGCTTCATAGAAAATAGAAACTTTCAACTTTTTTTTTTCCTACAAAGAAAAACAAATAGTATCCAAAATATTAAGCATTAATTGTTTGCCAATTTTTTTCTTAAATATTTTACAAACATAGGAAGGTGGTTTTCATAATGTTCATAACAAAGAATTGCATTTCTGCTTTTAGCACTGACTACGTCAATGACATCTTTTGTTCTTGTCCCCAAGAGGGTCAGTTTGTGTAGCCACCGTCAGAGCTTTAGGAGGACGTGGGACCAAGATGCCGGCTCCTTGCAGACCCAAGTGTGTCCATCATGTTCGTGTGGGGGCACTGCTCCCCCCGTCAAAGAGCTCATAGTGCTTTCTTCATTACTGGTCCATCAGAGTAAGTAGTTTTGTGCTATAAGAAAGCAGTTCTTCTTTACATTGGGGGTACAACAAGTCCAGTCATGGCTGCAAGGAAAGAGTGGCACAGGAATGAGATGTGGTGACTTTTTATGATCAAGGCTGTGACACAGAGTGAGGGACATGGGATGGGAATGATAGAATCTGATGCGATCCAGGGAGACGGTGCCCTCAGCTGATATGAGGACTGGTTCTCCAGGTTTGGTCTAGCAGACAGCCCATTAAAGGCACTGAAGCATTATGGAATCACTGAAGTACCGGGAAACCTTATTGAAGTTTTCCCTGGGAGGCCAGGAGTCACATTTTGTTTTATATTAATGGGTTGTATAAATGAGAGAACAGATGTAAACATGTAAACTAAACTGTAATATATGCATGATATCTTTTTTTATTTGACTAAAATACCAAATTATACTGCTCCAAATCACTTAGTTGGAACAGGAAACAGAAGTCCACGTGCCGAGCCTGTTGATCTACCAGGGCATCATTTACAGCAAACGAGGCTTTTTATCCACCCTACGCTTCTTTGGTGAGTGCTTTTTTTTTTTAGTTCATCTTCCTTTGGTACTCACTGCAGATGTGTGATGCTCACTGCTAATGAATGCTGATTACTGCACTAGAAGACTTCATTTAGTTTATCAATTCCCACTCTCTCTTATTTTTAAGCGGAACCTTGCTCTGTGACCCAGGCTGGAGTGCAGTGGTGCCATCTCAGCTCACTGCAACCTTCTGGGTTCAAGCAATTCCCCTGAGTAGCTGGGACTACAGGTGCACGCCACCATGCCTGGCTAATTTTTATATTTTTAGTAGAGACGGGGTTTCACCGTGTTAGCCAGGCTTGTCTTGAACTCCTGACCTCAGGTGATCCACCCACTTTGGCCTCCCAAAATGTTGGAATTACAAGTGTGAGCCACTGTGCCCAGCCCCCAGTTCCCATTCTTCATCGCCCTATGTAAATGCAGTAGTCCAATTATTTCTCCCTCCATTGAGTCGAGGATTTGGACAACGCCCATCTGGGTGGAAGGACTTCTAAGGGTTTCCCTAGGTGCGATAAATAAAGCAGCACCACCACAATGTGGAAAAATCCCACAGCAAAAATATTGCTCATGCTCACACTTTGAGAACATGTGCCCGTGGGATTTTCATGTTCTTGGAAAATGGCAGACTAGTTTCCTCGCATCATAATCTTTAAAATCATATCTAGCGTTTGATTCTTTGCATTTTATTATCTACATTGCATCGAAGGAATTATTAGATATAATAGAAGCATTTTGCTGAGGGTTGCTTATTAAGCTTCCAAGGAAATGGCTGAAATTCTCTCCGTGTTTCTCAACCCTTCCATCTCTCTCTCCTCTCTCACATTCTCCGCCTCTTTTTTTCCACATCACCTAGTCCTCTCGGACAGAATTGTCAGCCATCTCTTTCCCTGCCCATACAGCCTTTATTGAATGTTTGTGAGATCTGGATTAAGGTCTTACACAGCTAGCAAAGCCTTAATTATTTTTGCCTGTATTACTATATATTGAATCAATGTAACTTTTCAATAAAGGCGGTTCAATTCTGGACACTCCCTGATGATTTAGAGATACAGCAACCCTAGGAATTATCCCAGAGTGTAGAAGGTTTTTTTTTTTTTTTTTTCCTTGGAGGGAGCTGGAAAATGAATCATAGTATGTAATATTATCTCCACAATCTATGCTCATCAACTGGAAGTGCCTGATAAATGAGGTAGAAGGTGGAACATGAATGCTATAAGTGGAGCTCTCTGGCAGTGGATTTCTGACTCAAATTCTGAAATTTGTCTATTATATTTAAAACTCCTGGTTGGGCATGGTGGCTCACGCCTGTAATCCTAGTACTTTAGGAGGCTGAGGCAAGAGGATCGCTTGAGCCCAGGAGTTTAACACAAGCCTGGGCAACATAGCGAAAACCCATCTCTACGAAAAATACAAAACTTAGTCAGGCATGGTGATACATGCCTATAGTCCCAGCTACTCAGGAGGCTGAGGTGGAGGTCAAGGAGGTCAAGGCTGCAGTAAGCCACGATGGCACCACTGTACTACAATGTGAGTGGCAGAGTGAGATCCTATCTCAAAAAGAAGAAAAATCCTCACCCCATTCCTTTTTCTGGGCGCTCAGAGAGACACCAAAAGGGCTTATGGAACAGCAGAGTTGCTCAAAGAACAAGATCCCCTATATAACCCTTCCTCCTAGTCCCACATCCAGACTGGGTAGGCTTGAGCTCTGCTAGGTGGGGACTCTGACTTTGCTTGTAGAAATCATAGCCAACAGACAGAAAGCAATAATCTCCCTTTGAACCAGGTGGAAAGTAGGCAGAGCACAGGCTCTGGAGTCCAGATGTCTGGGTTCAAGTCATCAGATACTTCCTGTGTAGCCTTGGGTGAACCGCTTAACTAGGAATCATGACAATGGCATGAGTTGAAGGAGATACTTCTTGTAAGGCACTCAGTTTGGCACCTTGCCTGTAGTGCTCAGGATAGTTAGCAAGCCTCAGAGAGTATGGGCAGCACATGCCTTTGCAGACAATGCTATCTAGAGAAAGGCCCCTCCCCAGCCTGTGGTGACTCAGGCACTCAGCCCACATTTTCACCCTCCCACTGTCTTTCTCTAAAGAGATGGAGCTCCCTGTCCAGCAGGACTCTGAGAGCCCAGGAATTTTTTAGTTCAGTGACTGCATTAAACGTCAGCTTGGCTTCTTCCCTCTCTCTACTCCAGGGAACTTCACAATGCTGGACATTGAGCTTCCAAGCATCTGGTCTAAAACGAGGAAGAGCAGAAGGTACGATCCCTGAGGACATCATGCCTCCTCTCAGCCAGGCTGTGGGAAATATCTGTTATCTTGCCTAGACCTTCACATAAATTAAGTCTGTAACAACCCAGCCTTTGGGGATAGCTATTGGTTTTCTATTTAACATGCTGGGAAAATGAGGCTCTGAGAGGATAATGGCATACACAGATTCACTCGGCCAGGAAAGAGCTGAACTAGAACTCCGCACATGGCTGGTGACGTCATGGCCAGCGCCCTTCCAGTGGCTAATACCTTTACGGTTGTCCTCAGGATTCTCTTTTATTTCTCCACATATCACTTAATATTTTCATACATTTTTTACAATTTCTTTTTAGGCTACTGCTCTAAATTGACAGGTGCTTTTCTCTCCTCCCACACCTCCTCCAAAAATTTTGTCTTTTAGAAAGACTACACATGGGGTATAGTGTATACTGCACAGGTAACTGGTGCACCAAAGTCTCAAAAATCACTGCTAAACAACAACTTATCCATGTCATCAAAAACCACCTCTACCGCCCAAAATTATTGAAATTTTCTTTAAAAATATGAAATTTTAAAAAATATTTTAGATATGGGGTCTTGCTGTGTTGCACAGATTAGGCTTAAGTGATCCTTCTGCGTCAGCCTCCCCAGTATCTGGGACCATAGTTGTGTGCCACCACATCTGACCCCTTCTTTTAAAGGTTCAAGTCACCAGAGGAATGTGGAGGGAATAGAAGGATTCAAATGACGTTTGGAACCTTGCAGTGGCTCTAGAAATGAAGCTAGAGCCTAGAGCCTGTGCCTACATGCAACTCACCAAATCATTGCTCCAATAAACCTATCAGTCAGGAATGTGCTGGTCAGCCCGAGCATCCTGAGGGCTGGTGACCAGAAGTTTGGGTAGCTGGGGACCCTGGAGAAGGTCTTCTGGCTGTTTCTGCTGCAGCTGCCCACAAAGGGAACCTAAGACCTAGCAAGGTTTCCTTCCAGCTCTTTGGGTTGATTCAAACCTGACTTCAGTAACACCACAGGAGCCTTGCTCATGCAGGAAGAGGTGGGGTGGGGATAACAGACCCTGGGAGTCTGTACAAAACTTGTCCTGGCCACCCTGTAGGCTGAGAGCCAGGCAAAACAGACGGAGCAGCTCTGACACAACCAGCTCCACCTCCCTGCGAGAGAGGAGGTGGGGAAGGGGTGGCACGTGGAAGTCAAGTATGCTTTTTTCAAGTGAACCTGAACATATCTGCTAAGTGGCCAGGAAGGAGGAAAGGGTTGCATCCATCCCTTCTTCCTCCTGTCCAATGCAGAGGAAAGCCTGCACACCTCCTTGGTCTGTTTCAATTTGCATTTTTGCCAGTAAGACTAGTTGGGTCTGCACTCAGTTTAAGGTCCATGAATAAAACCAGAGAACTTAAAAAGAGGAAACATCAACACTGAAGAGATCGGAAAGTACAGTGAATATTCAGCAATCATTTTCATTTCCCCACCTGGAGATGAAGGTATCATGGAAAAAGCTCTGGGCACATCCCCTAAGAATGGGATGGAAACCACTGGTCTTTGATGAAAAACAGAGCAGGTGGAGACACTCAGATACAGGCTCAGCCTATTTCTCTATGAATTAGACATCTGGGGGAAAATCCCTGCCAAAGAATCCATCAAATTTCCAGATGTTTCCAACTACCCACACATTGGGTGGCATATAGACCCAGCTGCTTTGTCTAGTTAAAAGGAAAAGAATTACCAGCAATGTTTCTAAGTGCTGCGTTTTCCATTCTGCTTTTGACAGTTTGTCATGTCACTTGACTTCCAGAAAACACCATCATCTCCAATGTTGGGATGGCACAGGAACCTAAGGTAACTCCCAGAGCTCTGCTCAGCCACAAGATGAGAATGACCTCTTACAAGTGTCCCAGAATAAATAGTAACTTACACTCTACCACCAAACCATCAGGCAGATGCCATCCCAAGGACAGCGCAGCCCATCCAAGGTTCCCCATCAAGCACTGCTGACCTCACAGGCTTTGATCCACTAGGGATTAACGAAATCTCTTCCCTTTTTAGTTTTACCCAACGCTGCTTGTTGTAAACATTTTTGTGTCATGACATGAGAGGAGCAGCCTAAAAGTAAAGTGGGTTGCAAGTGAGCCCCAGTCCTCAGCAGTTTCCAATTTGCTCTTTTGTTGTTGGCTGCCCCCCATCCACGATGAGATGATTCGATTCTCATATACTCATCACATTTGTGTTATGTCATGCCATGTTATATTTTAGAACATTGCTCAAAAATGGGCTGGATGGATGACGTTAATTTTTGTTCTTAGAAACTGTATGTCTTTTCCTCTCTTTTTCTCTACTCTCCACAATGCCCTACTCAGGCACCTGCCATCAATTTGACTTGCATGTAACTAGAATTCACAGAACTTTTTGGTTGCTCCTGCTGGCTCCTGTCCACGTGTGCCAAGAGGACATGCAGGCACTGTGACAGTAAGCAGAAAGCACCACATGACATCCTATGGGGTGGGTGACTGAGAGAGAGTGGAATGGCTTCGTGGATAGCATAGGGCTAGGAAGTCCAAACACTCCTCATTGTATGTATGGCTCTACCATGGTTAATTCCATGACCTGCAGAGTTTGTTCATGTCTGTTTTACCCCATCTTGCTTTGTGTTATTATTTTTTGAGATGGAGTTGTGCTCTTGTTGCCCAGGCTGGAGTGCAATGGTGCGATCTCCACTCACTGCAACTTCCACCTCCCAGGTTCAAGGGATTCTCCTGCCTCAGCCTCCTGACTAGCTGGGACTACAGCACCCCCAAGCACACCTGGCTGATTTTTGTATTTTTAGTAGACATGGGGTTTCCACATCCTGACCAGGCTGGTCTTCAACTCCTGACCTTCAAGTGATCCATCAGCCTTGACCTCCCAAAGTGCTGGGATTACAGGCGTGAGCCACCACACCTGGCTCCATCTTGCTTTCCGATGGAGCCCTTGCCTGGCTGTGTGAGTCATTCATGTCCCATGATAAGAAGAGGAAAGTATTTCTTTGTAGATAAATGGCTGGAGCTATACAATGATGTACTGTTGGCTCCTACTTTGCCACCACTAGGGTACACTGTGTCATGTGTCTCCCCAAAGTAGAACCCTCACCTACCTCTGAATCCATTTCCATTGCCACTGGAGCAGGCAGGTGAAGGGGAGCCTTGGGGCCTGATGACAGGGGCAAAGGCACTCTTCTGTTTGACAGCAGGAAAAACTGAAGAGGAAAATGGAAGGATGGAGGATGTACTGGAAGATCCAACGGTGGGACTTGATGACATGACTGGAAAGCAAACACACAATCCTCGTTTAGAAATTAAGATGTTCCTTCAGTTCACACATTTGGCATACATTTGAGAAATTGTTAATTTCCAGGCATTGTTCCAGATTGCACTATTAAAAAAATTTTTTGAATGTGACAACATTCCTACCCTGTCCAGTGGGAGGAAGAGACACATAAAACAACTAATATGGCAATGATCCTATTAGAGGAAGGTACCCAATGCCCAGGAGATACAGACAGCAGAGGGCTCTTCTGCTTGGGAGAATTAGCAAGGCGTCTTCAGGAAGTGATGTTGGACCAAGTCTTCATTCATGAGTAGAAGCTTGGCAAGACAGAAGAAGAATGACACCAAACATGCTTGAAAAATCATCAGATCTACCCAGCAATGGAAATCACTTTTATACGCTACGGAAAGTCCTATCCGGGAGCTATATGCCTCCTCGGTACCTCCTAAGGCTCCAGGGGTTTGGTCTGTAGGGTTAACGTCTTCTCAGAGTGCCATCTCTGTGGGCCACTTCCTCATTAAATGTAAAAGATTATTAACATTCATAAGATTGCCTCCTTCTCCCATACTTTCAGTGCTCCTGGGAAGTCTACCTGCAAGTCAGTCTCCACTGACATGATGTTTAGAAAAAAACACCAATATTAATGACATTAACATTAAAATGACTTAAGGGAAACCAAAAGCTGAGTGTTGTAATTTCCAAGAAAAATAAAAGCAGTTTACATGATGAAGTACTCCACCAAATCACATCATGCAAGATGACAATTTTATCTCCTATGTTCAACTTACGAGAGGGGTAAACTAGAGTACACAAGGGTAAAACTCTTAGATACAACACCTTATAGTATAAGGTCAAGTTTTAGCCACTTGTATTAGCATAATTCCCAGAATTTTGAACCATCCAAGTCACATGACCTGATAAAAGTATTGCTGGAACCTAATGACAAAGCTCAGCAGTGCTAACTCTAGCTCTGTATTTTCAGTAGACTGTCTTTGAAAATGAGGACATGGGCGAGACTTATGACTGAAAGACCAAGTACAAGGTGAACTCGAGGTCAGATGTCCATGGACAACTCTACCCTCATTTCCCCTCCCTCCCTACAAAAATACATTGTGGGCCATGTCTATCCAATCGCCTGTATAAAGCACTTATGTAGCACACCTCCCATATGATGTCTTTTATGGCTAAACTAAAATCCAAAGACTTGAAAAGAAGAGCTTTCTCTAAAAACTTCTTATCCTTAAAGTAGCCTTGATTTAAGGAGCTATGCATGTGAGCACATAGGGGAGCATCACACACTGGCTTCTGCTGGGGGAGCTAGGGGAGGGACAGGGAGGTTGGGGAGGTTGGAGAGGGGATAGCATGGGGAGAAATGCCAGATGTGGGTGACAGGCGGATGGAGGCAGCAAACCACATTGCCATGTATGTATCTATGCAACAAGCCTGCATGATCTGCATATGTACCCCAGAATCTAAAGTACAATTAAAAAAAAAAACTGGAAAGGAGAACAAAGTTCTGGAAGAATCTCATGTAATACTTGAACATGTAAATGAATAAAAGCATTGTTGGGTTAATTCGCATTATAAGACAGGACACAGGGTTAAGCATTAGGAGTGGGTCTTATTCATGGTTCTGAGCAAAATCTCTTCTAGCCTTGGGTTTGGCATTAGTGAAATAGAAAAACAAAAGACAAAAAGAAAATCCAAAGCAGAAAAGCCCCAACTAAGGCACAGAATTAGAGGCCAAAGAGAAGCTGAGACTTAGTAGGTCCTGATTCTACCATATTCCAATATCTGCGATACTACATAATCCCTGGGGGCCCCAAAATAGTGCCTTGGTTTCTGTGTCTTCAACAGCAGAACCTCCTTAGACATCACCATTGAAGAGATTTTTATGATGTGAATTAGGCATTCCCACACACTCCATTCCATTTATATACAGCAAATGACTCACTAGTACAGATAATTATTTTCTAATAACAGATTTCAATGGAAAGTAGGGCCCATTAGATCAAAAATGGTTCCCTCACAGTGGGAGGAGAAAGCTTTACTGAGTAACATGAAGGAATTGTTGCAGAGTTGAATAAATACTTGCCTGTTTTAAATATTTCTTACAACAATTTCGTAAAAATGCCAAAATGCATTCAAATTAATTTAAATTTTGATGCAACTATAATAAAACTACTAAAAGGAATTTGAATTTATGCATTTTGGTAAACACAATTACTGTGTTTGCTTGTTTCAAAAAATAACACGGTAAGAGACAGGAAGCTTTGTTTAAAAATTTTCTTACATAGTAAGAAAACACTTATCTTCATCTGTGAAATCACAGTTGTACTGACACAGAAATAGACAGATCTTTAGAGCACAACAGAGTTCAGAAACAGACCTGGGTATAGATGGGAATTAATACTTAATAAAGGTGACATTTCATATTAATAGGAAAATAAATGCATGGAAAAATACCCTTTGGAGACTAAGTTTAGAGTACTTCCTCATGTTAAACACTGAAGTAAATCTGAATAGATTAAAAAGTTATTTTTAAAAGCAGAAAAAAGTGCTAGTAGAGATATTAGGATGGTTAGAAGTTTACAAGATAGATTTGCCACATAATGAAAAACTTCTACCACAAACGCAAAAAGGCAAATGACAGATTAAGAAAAATATTTGCAACACATATTTAGATATGCTCATATCCTCAATAGCTCATAAGTTTTCATAAGTTAATTGGAAAAAGAAAAACACCCCAAGAGAAAAATGGGCAAAGGACATACAAAAAGAAAATCAGAAATAAAAATGACCGAGAGAGATCCATATAGAAACACTCAAACTGGCTCATAATAAAATGCTAAAGAAAACAGTAACAAGATCTTATTTTCCACTTACTAAATACATAAAGAAAAAATTAACAGGGTGGGGAAACATACATTCTTTCTTTTCTGAGGGAAGAATTAACCTCTCTGAAGGGACGTTGGCAATATCTATCAAAGTATTTTAAAATGTGCACATCCTTTGACCCACTAATTTAATCTCTAGAAATTAATCCCAAGGAGATAGTCACAACTGTGCCAAAAATAATAGGTTCAAGGGCATTTTTATAATAATGAAAAATCGGGAAGTAAGTGACCCATAATAGGGCACATAATATTTAGTGCGTGCAATAGAATGCGATGTCAATATTAAAACTAATGTTGTAGAATATTTAATCATATGGAAATAGATACCTCTTCAGATGAGAAAAACAGATTACATAACACACATATTAAGCTCCCTTTACTTTTTAAAAATAAACATAGCAAAAGTCTAGAAGGATGTGATACACACCCAAAATTTCAGCAATGGTATCTCTGACCAATGGGATTATGAATATCCTTAAATGTATTGCTTTCACTTGTCCATATCTTCAGAATTTTCTACAACAAGCGTATTATTTTTAATACACAGTAGGAGAAACCAGTAAAGACTATTACATTTAAAAAAGACAAAATCTCTATTTCTTTTGGTAGAAATAAATAATACAATCTTTAGCAATAGGCATAATGGCATTTAAAAATAACTTTAACCTTCCTCTTTCACTTACTGCCTATACACAAAGTTGTCTGTTACACACTGCAACACCACTCCCCACCTGCCCCCACCAAGAAAGCTAGAGACAAATAAATCCTCACATTCCTGGAAGACGCTTGATAATTGCAGTCAACTTTTAAAAGCACACATCACCCCTCATATGTCTGTTCCCCATTCTTAGGACCCGGGCCTGTATCACTGACGGATTTGAGGGAGCCCACCTTCCTCTCTGACTTTGGTAATTTTACTGCTTTTCTTCCACCCTCTCTTTCATTGATCTTATGGCAGAATCTCATTAGTTGTGCATCAGAGCAGACGCTGCAATTTTCAAAATGTATCTATCCATGACTGGAAGGCTATCCTTTAAAAATTAACAATGGTTACCTCTGCATAGACACAGAGTGTGCCATTTTTCTTTCCTCCTTTTTACTTCTATGTGCTTTTCAAGACGTCTGTAATGAGAACATCACTATTTTAGTAGGTTTTCTTTTCTGAAGAAGTAGAAATATATCAGAATTCAAAGAGGTGGTTCTTATGGTGGGAGTATGCTTTCTTTTAAAAATTATTTTCATATGTTCTATGTTTTCTATAATTTTAATATTTTACTATAGAAAAATGTCTTAATATTTTTGAATTATACATTCAAAATAAAACGATAGAAGCCCAGAACATGGTCTAAGACTCTGAATGTAATGTAGGAATCTATGAGGACAGGTTGGATTCCTGCCTGTATGGATTCTGTCCCAAACTCTGCATAGGCTTGGTGGCTATTCTGCTTTGGAAGAAGTGGTCCCCATGGGTGTTACCAGCTTGTTAAATAGACAATCTTTTGGGACTGCAGAGAGAACCATTTCAGGAAAGTTGATCACATGTACTTCCAATTGAGAATTTCTCTGGACATCTCTCTCTCTATGGATAGGGGCCAAAGCAAAGGCAAGTACGTCTGGCCCAGAAATCTGTGTGAACATGGGGAGTTGAGGAAAAACCACTTTTCTTTGTACAAGGATGGATTGGCTTGCATAGTCTCAGCTGGAACTGAGACTATGCGCATATATCCTCCTTTGCATCGAGCCATTGCATTTTTTGGAGCTAAGGGGTCTGTCCGCATTTCATTATAACCCCCTATTGTCAGGAGTTTAGAATTCGGCTATAAAAACTTGCACTGAGCTGGAACTTGGCACGCTGCTACTGCCAGGAAGTGAAGTTTGTATGTAAGATTGAAAAAACATCTGTTTGGCCATTTTTTGAAGTAGTGCAAGAGCAAAAACAGTAAAGATGCAGGTTTCTGATACTCTACATAGGCTGTCATGCAAGTCAAACTTGACCAAGAAGCTTGGCTCTATTTCTTTCCTTTTTAGTGTATCTGGCAAGTATTTGCTCTGTGGCATGATCCAGCCACATCAGATGCATTAAAAAAAAATCATAGAATTATGTTTTCAGACACAAGCAACTGAATTGACAAAAGGTTTTCCCCTGGGCTTTTCCTTCTTGTATTTCCCAGAGAAGTAAAGACTTGGCCGGCTAGAAATACAGGTCAGGTGCTATTGTAATGAACTCCACTGGGTATTCAGTATTTTTGGAGTAGGGGAAGTTGATTGTAACGAATGCACTGTTTGGAATTTCATGGCTATCTTGCAACTCCTTCAGAACCTCCCTTCAAAAGTGAAGGTGCAAGCCATCACACCAGATCCAGCAGGTACAGGGAGGAGTTCTCCCGTCTCTCTTTCCTTCTCCCAGTTGGGCAGGGTGCCTTCCTCTTTTTTCTATTCTGTGTCCACCATCTCATTTTAATTGGTAATTTGGTTATTACTTTTCTTGTGGTAGTGGGTTTGAGTGATCATGAAATAGCAGTAGAAGGAAGTTGTCACTGATGGGAGTGGAAAGAGTTTCTACCAAATGAATTATTTAGGAAGAAATATTCAGCAATTAACACCTAACTGTATATTTTCATTCATCTTTTTTCTCTCCTTTCTTCTCCACCCTCTTCACTACCACACCACATACTGTATTATAAAAGTGATCATTTTTTATGTACAAAAACAACTGATTCAACCTCATTCATACATACATAAATTAGGAAGTTCCACTTTTGTAGACCAAAAATGGCCAAATAGAGGGAATTTCACATGGTTTAGCCTAATATTACACTATAAGTACATTAAATATTTCTTATATTATTGAATAATTTAAAAACAGTATTCTGAGTGTGATGATGTGATCTAGTCCCTTTTTTACTGGCTGTGAAGTTATTTAATAGCTCTTCATCTCTTACAAGGGAAAATGATGATGACTGTATCCATGTCACAAGGTTGTTGTGAGGTTCTGACTGGACTCTAGATGTCAACATGCTTTGTAAGCTGTAAAGTGGAATGTAATTAATCTTATTGATGTCCCTATTGTAACACTGTTTACACAATGGATCTTCTGCCATTGCATCATTTGTAGGAGTTGTTAAAGATGCGGTCTCTTTACCACACCAGACACCTTCTCCAGGAAGAAGCATGGGAAAGACCTCCCCAACATCTCAGTGACAGAAATAGCCACATTTCATCTGAGTTACTTTGAAAAATAATGTGTGGACATAAAATCTTATAACAAATAGTGGTTCTCTCTTTGCTTTAGCCTCTTGTAAACTCAAAACGAAATAAATGGCTCCCTTGAATAGACGAAATGGCATTAATGCTTGCCCTGGCATTTATCTAATTTCCTGAGCCACATTTGTTTGTTTTAGCGTATTTTCTTGTTAGACCCTGTTTTATACTTTCATATTACCTATTTGACTGCGAGAATTCCCCCAAACACTTCTTGGAACAAGATAAGGTAAAAACAAGTCAAGCAATCATTTATTTGTCTAGAACACTGTTATCTAATTAACTTGGGTCATCTGACAAGACACAACACAAAACTCATGTCTTTGCAGTAAGAAGATTTTCGTTGTACTAGAAGAACTGACCTCTACTACCCTTTGCTGCTTGGCTGTGTCTTTATCTCATCATGTAGAGTGTATGAATCCAACCGATAATCCACAAATAACTCATACATGTCTCCCCAGGGAACCGAAAGTCCAAAGACTGTGAAAGGCAGCTTCTGTGACATGTCAGTTCCTAGGCTATGGTGGACATGGCTGTGTGCTGCCCTTGACATGTCCTTGCTCTTGGCACAAGGAAACCACACTGGGTGAAAAGAGGGCAAGGTGCAGACTTGCAACAAGACCCAGCATTTCAAGAACACTCTATTCGATCACTTCAGCCTCTCCATTTGAGCTTGTCCCCTGGCCTAAAGTATTCCCTGGGTAGGTTTGAAAACTGTACTCTCTCAGGCTCCTGGGACCATTGTGTAACTTTCCAGCATTACCTTACCTCCCAAGGCAACACAAGTGGGGTTTTCACAACTTCCCAGAGCAGGGACTTTGCTACTAGACCACAGATTAACATGAAAAGGTTCTGTCTCAATATATCACACGATTGCATGCAGTCAACTTCCACCTCTCTGGAGGTACTGAAGGGAGGGGAAAACGAGGTCGCAAAGTCAAAAAAAAAGCATGGTACGATATACAAAATAACTCAAAGTCATCGAGTCTATGCCCAAATTATTAACCTGCTCTATTCTAGCTATGTGATCTTAAGTCAGAAAACTGCAGTGAAACCAAACTTCCTTGTCTATAGCATAAAGTTCTTATCGGAAAGTTCTTATGGAGATTTAATATTACATCTGCAAGTGCCTAAGAGTACACATATTGTTAACTGAAATGGAATCTTAATTCTTTGCTCCCACTTACATAGGCCACACATGCTCTTTCTTTATAAAAACGGAATTGTTTCAATCCTTTTCTTTCCCCAAAAGGCCTTGAGTAACCACGTAAGCCAAAGTCCAGCTAAGAGAAAAGAACAAAAAGCAGGAAGGACGCTTCATCAGGAAACTAGGCTGCTCCCTGACAAGTTAGGAAGATTTACAAATGCAACTTTCTCCCAAAAGGCTGAGTAGTCAAGCCCAGAGACAGAAAACCATGGAGGGCCAGAGGGATGGAGAGGTCACTTACTTCCATAAGGAGAGCCGGTGGGTGAGCCGTTTAGAAATCCTGGTGATCCTGGAACACCCAGGTTGGCCATGGGGACGTTGCTGTAACCATTCATACTGTTGCTGGAGGTACTGTAGTTAGACTGTTGAGGCGTGGAGCTGGAAGAGTATCCCCGCGGAGAGATGCTGCTTGTGTTGCGGATGTATCCTTGGCAACAAAGAAAAAGCCCAGGTCAATCAACAGGCATACACCGTCAGGCCACATGTTGCCAGCACAGGTCCACGTTGGCCCCAGACTACAGAATGCCACCAGCTGCCCCAGGCAGTTGTGGGAAGCGTGCAGTCCATCTTCAGCCTTTTAGACCTTCCTCTCTCCCCCCCATCTATGCAAGGCCGTGCCCTTGACCCTCCTCTTCATTCAAAGCTGCACTCAGCACCTCCAGCTCACACCAACGAGCAAATGGCTAATGGCAGTGTGGAGTTCCCTCTCCCGAATCATACTTCATATGACACTGGAGTCCAGTGAGATATGATTAGTGTCACTGAGAAAAGCGTTCTGTGGTCAAGTTAGGCTGGGCAGATGTTATGCGCTGTAGGATTTCTTGACGATTCATATACAGGAGGCCTAGAGAATAAATAAACTGGTTTGACTTTGCTAGCCTAGTGTTTGCCAGATTTAACATGCCGTAGCATCTCTTGGCAGGGCCTGCAGGGGGAGATATCTTAACCTCTCTGGGGCCAACTGTATTCTATGGAACAGTTTTAGAAATGTTAGTTCAACATCATTGCCATACCCTAGTTGCAAGTGGGGAATCATTTTCATTCAAAAAATGTTGATGAGTTTTCCTAAAATGTGCTACTCTTTGACCTAGAACTTTGGGGCATCAGCAGTGATTGTGGGGGACCCAGTCTATGCCTGGGATGAGGAAAGGAGTGAGAAATCACAGCACAGAGACATCGTATCATGTGTCCTGAAATAAAACCACTTTGATGAACTGTCTCTAAAATGATTTAGGAAACAACCCAAATTTGTCACCAGATGATAAAAAATTTGATGTTTTGTCTATGGGCCCCATGTCTACAAAAACAAACGTAATAATATGTCCTATCTATTTTTTTTTTTTTTTGAGACAGGGTCTCGCTCTGTTGCCCTGACTGGAGTGCAGGGACACAATCATGGCTCATTGCAGCTTCAACCTCCTGGGTCAATCTCTCCTCCCACCTCAGCCTCCCAAGTAGCTGAGACTACAGGTAAACACTACCACACCTGGCTAATTTTTGTATTTTTTGTAGAAATAGGGTTTCACCATGTTGCCTAGGCAGGTCTGAAACTCCTGAGCTCAAGCAATCTGCCCACCTCAGCCTCCTAAAGTGCTGGGATTACAAGTGTGAGCCACCTTACCTGGCCCACCTACTCTTTTGTAAAAACTTACCCTGGGCAAAAAAAGGAAGAATTATTTTCCAATGAATAAATAAAATTAGAGAAAAAAAACTATCCCAATGTTAAGGACTTCATTAGGAACATTTACTCCTTTTAAAAATCATTCATGACGGATTTAGACTTAGCACTTCAATCATAAAATCAATCTCAATGCAAAGATCTTTACACAATCTGCTTCACATGTAAGAGCACTGTTGTCTTATATTGGTTTGTTGTTATATATTTGTATATGAGATAACACAAAATAGGAGTTACCAAATAAAACCAAGCCATTCACTCTTGGTTACTAGGAAGAGAAATTTAGGTATCATAAATAATGGCAATCATCAGCTGCTTTCTAGTATTTAATCTGATAATTACAATAGCAGAAGCATAAATTTCTTTTCAGTTAATAGCTGTAAATCTATTTTCCATAAGCCCAAATCCTTCTAAATTCATAATACTCAATTCTTTCTTTTCTCTCTTTTTTTTTTTTTTGACAGGGTCTCACCCTGTTGCCCAGGCTAGAGTGCACTTTCACACTGCGTGTGCACTCATATTCAGCCTCAGCTCATGCACAGTGTGCCAGCACACCCCACTGCTCACTGCAGTCTCGACTTCCCAGGCTCATGAAATCCTCCCACCTCAGCCTACCGAGTAGCTGCAACTACAGGTACCCACCACCACACCTGGCTATTTTTTGTAGAGATGGATTTTCCCTATGTTACACAAGATGGTCTCAAACTGCAAGGCTCAAGAAATCTACCTGCCTCAGCCTCCCAAAATGCTCAAATTACAGGTGTGAGCTACCAGGCCCAGTCATAATATTCAATCTTCTTAAATATTTTCAGACAGTCTGCCTGGTACCTAAGAAGCTCAGACTCTAATAATGTATCATCTATAATCTTGAAATGATTGTACTGCCTATCTGTGGACACACTCTGTTGGACCTTTACGACTCAACCTCTGACTGCATCCACTCCAGCAGAACTTACTTTTTAAACGAATCAGACATAGTTGGATTTTGATTCTAAGAAAGGTGGTACCTTGATTATTTCCTTGTGTTGACTCTGAGATGCTGACCCCAAGCTGGCTGCCATAGGAGTTGATTCCCATCATGCCACTGTGTGCTGGAGAGCTGGAGAGGGCTGGAAGCTGGCTGGGATTCCTGGGGACGCTGTAGAGGGCTTCAGCAATGTCTGCGGCTCGCTTCAAAATGATGTCCTACAAAATGTCAGGCTAATGTGAGCATTCTATCCAGCATAAAGTGCAAAACTCAATAAAGGGTAGGATGTGAGTATCTCACCTGGTTATTGTGTGGTGTGCCATAAAGGGCTTCCACTAGATCGGCAGCTCTTTTCAACAGCATTTCCTGGACAACAAGCAAAGGTGGGATATTGTCAGAGGCAAAATCCAAAATGGCAAACAAAAGAAAATTATAGGTAAAAATGAGAAATCTACACATCCCTCCCAAAATGTAAGTAATTAGCGAAGAGGTCCTATATTTGGTTTGACAGGTAGAATACCATTTTACACATAAATCTCTCTATAAATACACATCTATGAAATTTGCCTCTATAAAATGGCTCCATAAATGGATGTATTACCAAAACAAAAAACAACTGAGAGTGGAGTTGTTTAAAACAATTGAGAGTGAAGTTGGTTAAAATTAATAATGTCATGGAAGTTCTATTAAATGCTACTTTCAGCCCATTCTGTTTTAAAAATCTAGTCCTCTAATTAACCAAATATTCTTAAAATGATTGATGGATTTGAGTTTAGCTGCTTGCCAAGGAGTTGTCCAGAGTACTGAAATTATCTTGACAATAACTTCTGCAAAATTTTCTTCTAATAAAGATGAATTCTTTCAATAATATTTCCCCCTATACGCTTTAACCAGAGAATTAGTAATCACAAATCCCTTTACTCTCATTTTGCCTTTTCCACCTCCTGTTTTTTCACAGCCTTTTAAATTGCTATTAACCTACTTTCCAGATAGCATCTAATTTAATGGCGGGACTAGGGATTTTTCCAGGAGGAAAATAAAGATGTGATGTAGAAGCAACTGTGGTGCTTAAATTTTATTCACAGTGTGGAAAAGAGAACACAGCATTTTATAATTTGTGTGTTTAAAATGCAAATACAAATGTGAAAATAGTCATCAGCTAAATGAGAATAAACTGATACACTTTTTAAATAAAGCTAACATCATGAGCCAAATTCATAATTTTATAAGGAAGTTCACTTGAAAGTGATGTATTTCATAGAAATTTTATACAGAAGCATTTTTCTCCTCATTAGACACCTATGTACATAGTAGACCTTCAATGAATAATATTGATTGTGGGTCCCTGCAATTATGGGTAAATAAAACATTTAAATACAAAGGAGTGGAAGCTTATACTTTTAACCAATTATGCAAATATTTATTTTCATAAAGGTGGCCATGTTTTATAAGCTGAATACTCCTGTTGTGTATCTGTTTTATAGGCTCAACTGTTCAGATTTCATATTTCCTAAGAGATTAATAAATACAACCATAATATATTTCAGAGTTAGCAGATATTTTATGTGCCTCTTATATCTAAAGCTTAGCCAAATTTCAAGGCCTAGTTAATTTTAATGGGACGTAAATGCCTGGATTTGTCTAAGTTTGCTGAAATTCTACACAAATGGCTTCACATGTCAATTTCCAAAGCACGTTACCTTGGCTAATCTCTCAGGATCTCCAGGATGCCTGGGGATGACCTTCTGCAGTCTTTGGAAGCCATAGTCTATAGTGGGTTCATTTAATGCTGAAAAAGAAAAATCCTCTCTCTGAGTTTGTATCCTGGCCATAAAGCAAACCTTCTAATTAATTCTTCCACAGGTAATAAGAAGGTTCTGGATGCATAATGGATGTAATCAGTTAGAGTTTTTGCTGTTAACACTGGTTAATTCACATCTTAATTTAGAATTTATAGTACTTTTATATCTTTCCATTAGAATAACATTTCAAAATTTCAGATTATTACAATGATCATTTCTGCTTTAAGTGTACATAAACTTCTCTGTTCACTATCAAATAAAGAAATACACGAGCAACCATATCTCGATTTCTTATGAAGATAATAAACTATTTTTATATTATTTTCCTTTCTCTCCTTCATCTCTTTCCTAAGTAGGACTGTATTGTCTATCACTTCTTCTAAATATCACTTTTTCTTAATCAGTCTCTTAAATACTTACATTCATACACATATAAACCTTCTATGAGCTTATTCTCATAAACCCTGTTTTTATGCATAATACGATTCCACAGTTTTCAATTATATTTAGTTACACCCACATCTGTTAAATGTCAGCTCCCCATCCCATCCCCACAAATACTGCAAATTTTATTCCACCACTATGCTCCCATTAAGATAGGGGCTGGCACATGGTAGGCACTTAGTGTCAGTAATTATAAAACAAGTGAGCACATTAATGAATGGCATACTTTAGCATTCCCACTATTCTAAAGAGTTTTCAGCATGCATTTTTTTCTTTCTCCTTCTTCCCTTTATTTTTAAAAAGTTTGTTTAAATTTCATTGTTTTAAAATTAATGCATGATTAAGGCAAAAGGTAGAAATAATAAAAAATCACCTGCATTGCTGTTATGCAGCAATAAACACAGTAATGTGTATTTCCTTTAATCTTGTTCATATATATTTTATAATGTATGTATGTATGTTATTATTTTATCAAAACAATACCTTTTTAAAAAAACTATTAAAAACATTAAATATAGAAGAAAAAATTAGCATAAACCCACTTAAGAAATGAGCCAGATTAACATTTTTTGCTTATATCTTTTCAGATCTAAACCTACACATATACCTAAAATTATTCAGAGACATACTGTTCACACTGTGACATAACTACTTTTCAGCCACTTAACAATATATCATAAACTTTCTCTCAGATCATTATTCTTTTATGACATTATTTTAAATTCTTGCATATTTTTCTATGACATGTTCTATAATTTATTTAAATGGCTTCCTAATATTGAGCATTTAATGTGACCCTATTTCTCACTATTATAAATATCAGAGAAATAATTATCCCTTGTGCATAACTTTAATTATTTCAATTGCAAACTTCTAAGAATTAGAATTACTGGACCAAAAATTATGATTTATATTTTGGGCCTTTCAGACACATATGGTCAAATCACTCCTCAGGAGAAAGGAGTTTGGTCTTCCTCCAGCAATGTACGTGCTCATTTTAAATTACATTTTTTTTTAGTCACCAGTGAGGTTGAAGAATTTTTTCTCATATTTGCTGATCATGTTAATTTCTTCTTTTATAACTGCTTATTAATACTTTCTGTACTCTTCTCTCACTTATAAAAATACTTTATATGTTGAGATTTTTAATACTCTGGCATCATGTTGTAATATCACATCCCAATTTATCCTTAAGTATTTGATGTATAGAAAGACCACCTCTACTCAAAGAACTGGTAGGTACACACACACACACACACACACACACAAATGTATATGTATATACACATATGTGTATACATATATGAATGCTTAAATTATTTAACTTATCTTTGCCACAATTTAAGTGTATTTCACAATTTATTGAATGATTTCTGGACATATATTCTGCTTTATTGATCTATGTTTCTATTCTGGGTGAAAATCACACTACTGTGGTTGTGACACATGTTTAATGTTTGACAGTATAAGTGTCCTTCCACAAATACACAATCTTTTAAAACTACATTTTCTCAAGTCTTCTGTTTTTTGTTTGTTTGTTTGTTTTGAGACAGAGTATTGCTCTGTTGCCCAGGCTGCTGGAGTAGAGTGGTGAGATCTTGGCCCACTGCAACCTCCACCTCCTGGGTTCAAGAGATTCTCCAGCCTCAGCATCCTGAGTAGCTGGGATTACAGGCATACGCCACCATGCCTGGCTACATTTTTTTGTGTTTTTTAGTAGAGACAAGATTTCATCATGTTGTTCAGGCTGGTCCTGAACTCCTGGCCTCATGATCTCCCTGCCTTGGCCTCCCAAAGTGCCAGGGTTACCGGTGTGAGCCACCGCGCTCAGGCTTCTCAACTATTCTTACCCATTTATTCTTTCCGGATTAATCTTAAGGAAATTTCTAAAAAATGTTTCAGTTGCATTAAATCTACAACTAGAGAGAAAATGGATGGCTTTGCAATAGCAACACTCCACCTTCCTCTTCAGATCCCTCAGTAAACTGTGTACTGCTCAACGTATAGGTGTTAAGTTTTTTGCTTTCCATTTTAATTATTTGCTGCCTATTTCACTGTGAATATGGCTGTTCCTTAATCATATTGTCCAAGAGTTTTATTAGTGTCTAAAAACACTTTTGTGTTGTACACATCTGTGCAGGAAGTCTATGGTATAGAGATTAAGACAATCGGCTTTAGAGTTGAGTAGATCTAGGGTCTGAATTCCAGCTCCACAGTGTCTGCGAGCTGTTTAAAATCCATTTTATGGGTTGGCTGTCAAAATCAAATAAAACTATTTCTATAATGTCCCCAGCACTGTGCTTGGCATATAAAATATCTTTTTCTTTTCTTTTGAGATGGGGTTTCACCCTGTTGCCTAGGCTGGTCTCGAACTCCTAGGCTCAAGACATCTGTCCACAGCCTCCCCAAGTGCTAGAATTACAGGCGTGAGCCACTGCACCTGGCCCATAAAAGATCTTAACCAAAGGTAACCATTATTTTGTAACAAAAATCCCTGACACATCACTATGTTTTTTTCTTATTACTTCTCTTACGCCTGTACATTCATATCATCTACTTAAAGTGATCATTTTGTCTCCTTTTGACAAACATATTTTCCCATTTAGTTCTCTTAATCCTATTCTTGTGTTGTCTAAAACTTCCCAAACAATGCTCCAAAATGAGGATAAAGTTGGATATTCTTGTTTTTCTCTGAATGGGAGTGACATATTTTACTACCAAATATGATGTTGGCTATTTGAGATAGATCTTATTGATCGTGGTTCAATAAGGGTTATTAGGACTTCTTGGGGTTTTAGAAAATCACAGTCACATGAATTTTCTCCTTTGGCCAAATATATATATACAAACTCTTGCTCTGTTGTCCAGGTTGGAGTACAATGGCACGATCTCAGCTCACTGCAACCTCCGCCTCTCAGATTCAAGCATTTCTTCTGTCTCGGCCTCCCTAGTAGCTGGGATTACAGGTGTGAGCCACTGCACCCGGCCTATATTATATTCTATATTTTCCAGTATTTCAAAATTAAACATTAACTCATGGATGTAATATATCATTTTATTGGTATATATCTGAATTCAGTTTGTTAATATTTCATTAATACAATGGCACAAGGATTAAATCAGTTAAGTTCCTAAGAACAGCACCTGGCACTTGGTGAGCACGCAAGTTTATTGTTATTGCTGTCAGGAATCTACGTGTACATATTAATAACTAGGATTGTGTGTGTGGCTCTGTCCAACTAATGTTTGGTTTTTATTTTATACCAGTTTTGAAAACTATATTGAGAAGTTTTCTATATTTTATCCTATGCTCTATAAATCCTATATAGCATGGATAGCAGCTCTTGGCTAAACACTTGAGAGAACACTAGTAAACTTGCTCATACTAAAGTCACCAATAGCATTTTAGCCAAACCAATAGGAACTTTTCCATTCTCTTCTTAACCCCAAGTTAACACTTGACACCGCTCATATTCTCCACTTCAAGAAACCCTCCCACCCACTGGCTTCCTGAACTCACACTGCCCAGCTTCCTTCCCACCTCTTTGGCCATGTCAGCCTACTTTGAGAACTGCTCTTTCTCTGCCTCTCTTGTCAATGATGCTTCTCAAGATTGTTGCCAGGCAGCCTTCTGCTTTGCTGCACATTCTCCTGGGCAACTTCATGAATTCCTCATGATTTCCACATGCAGCTACATACTAATAGTCATAAATCTTGATCTCTAGACTAGATACCTGACCTGAGATTCAGCTTTAAATATCCAACTGTTGGCTAGAAAATTCCACTCAGCTGTCCCATAGATCCCTCCCACCCAAGATACCCAAACTCAGGAGATTCTCTGTGAATTGCATTATTATCCAAATGATTGACTGCCAATCAGAAACCTAAACTTCATTCTGTTTCTCAATATCATTGTATTTTTTCTAGAAAAAAATCATCTATTTCATCAGGACTGTAAATGTTTTAGCATAGAATCTATATTGTATTTGTTTAAAATTTCTCACTTATCTAGAGTTCCCTGACCCCTCATCCCACTGAAATGTATACAAATTTATGTATATGTTTAAATTATTTAACTTATCTGGATTTTATTTTGTTGTGTAACATTAAGTACTTACCTTTGCCACAACTTAGTAAACTTCACAATTTCGTGGTAATTTGCTGATTAGTCTTATTTATAATTTTGACTTCCTTTAGTTCCAGAAAGAATACCCTAAAATTTCTATGTAATTTAGTACTAAATTGTTAATTGTTTATTGCAGTCAACTGCCCTGGATTCAAAAAGGTATCCTTCACAGTATCTGCCTTTTGGAATGTATTGAGTTTTTGTGAATTAGTACGTATTAGTTTTGTCTGCATTTCCTGGGCAATGCTTTAAAGTCTTATTTCATCTGTCTTTTTGATCACATTATTTAACACATCTATTTTTGCTACTGTAAATTTGTCTTCCCACGTTCTCATATTTCTAATAGTTTTAAATATATATACTTTTCTAGTGATTTGACATATATATATATATATATATATATATATATATATACAC